GGCAACATCTACACGCTATTCAAAAGAGACAATACAAAGACCAGAACATCTCCTCACCAGCAATTATCACTCAGATAAGCAGAGATTAACATCAAGATTATCAAGCAGTAAACAATATCCTAATCAAAGAACTACCAGGAGGAAAAAAATAAAACAAAACAAAGCCCACACCCACACCAACTCTGGCAGGGCATGCCACTGTATATAAGCAGAGAGCAAACCCCATTCCATTTTAGCACTGAAGATGTTACCTAGCCGGGTAATGAGACGTTTGCAAGAAAACAACCAAGCTCAGAGAACCCCAAGGACTCCTTATGTCATACAGTTTTACAATGATACAATTAAAACTTCAATATTCATACAATTTCTACCCAGAAATTGTTTTCCTAGAATGTCCAGTTTTTGGGATATACAGTACTAGAATTGGTTTTCTACTGTAGCATATTCTAGATGACTATCTGATGAAACCATTCCATTACTGAAGCTGAAAGTGACGGGATAAATATTTGTTTTGAATTAGCTACTTGCTAAACTTGGCACCAAGAAAGTGGCATTTAACTAAGTAAGAAATTCTTCTGATATCTGCAAACCAGCTGTTAATACATAATATTAGTAAACTTGAACAGTGTGACTATTCTTGAAGACCTCAAATAAAGTTTGCTTTCTGTGCATGAATGCTAAGTATTTTCTGTCCACATACTTAGCTGATTAACTGGCCTAAAAGGCTACTATTTTTTTGCTGGCTTCCTTTTCTGTTAGATTAAAAAATTAAATATAAATTCATTTAAGTATATTATGTTACATATTATTTACTTTGTTTCACTCTGTCAACCTTATTGTGCTACCAGATCTCATCCATTGTTTAAATTCATAAACTAGACACTATTATTTTTATATAAAAAGTTTGTATAAGAATGCATGCCAAACATTTTAATACTGATATTGGTTATATTTACAGAAAATGAGAACAATACTATGTGCACTTTTCCAGTTACTATGAAAAAGTACCCTATCAAGACAATAAATATATCAAATTGTAAGCAAATGGGAACATTTGGAACAACTCTCTTACCTTTTACTTCTATTAATACCATCTATGGCACTACATACAATTATACAAATGGATCAGCATATTCAGGTACATTTCAGTTTAAGTAACCAATTAAGTGTACGTATGGGGGTATATTGGTTCAGAAGAAATGTCAAAAAATAATTTAATTCACTTATATGGATTTTGAAGCACTGAATATTTTCAAACATAAAAAAGTCCATAACCCTGCTAGAAGAAAAAAAGAATTTGCATGGTCTTGAGTACTTTAAGCAATGTTCATCAAGCAAGTCAACTCAGATTTGTTTAAATACTCTACTGTCTAATCTACATTCACACAAATTTACAACATACTGCTTTACATTTAAGAATAGATTTTGTCGGGGTTGCCCTCAAATGCCTGCAATATTCTATTGAAACTTGGCACACTCACAAAAATCTAGGACTCCACCTGAATATATAAAACTCCAAGCCACCTAAAGGAGACAAAGAACAGCTTCTACCAAGCTAAAGGGTCCAGTCATTCACAGATAGATGGACACAGGCATACATAAATAATGCAGGATTGAATTCTGTTTTATTTTTTCCTATCACTGCAGAGTACTGGTAGCTGCCTTTTCCTCTGGTTTATCTGTATGGCCACCTACACAGTGTTTTCACAACCAACTGTTCTACTTCCAACCTTCCGTCTTCCCACGTTGTTAATTTCAACCATGATACTTTTGCATTATATTTTAAAACAGGAAATATATTGAAATAATTTTATGTATACTATATAAACTGAAGGAATCTTTTCCTTAGGAGAACATAATTGAACATGCTACTGAATATTTTTACATGCATATTAGCAAACCATAGATTAATTCAGATAATCCTGATAGTTCAATATTCCAATTATTTGTTAAATGTCAGCTGTAAAAACCTGATTTGGCAATAGTTTCATCTCATGAAAGTCAACTAAGTCCCAGTTGAAGCTGTAGCAATGGTACTATGCTAATATCAAAGGGTATACATAGATGGGGACATCAGTCTTGAATCAACTAAACCACGGCTGAGGCAGGTACCTCAGATCTATGTAGAAAGTCAAGATTATTCATCAATCTATTATTAATTCAGCTGAAATCCCATATGTAATATTTACAAGTATCATACAAGTTTACAAGTTTAATAAATAACAATAACAACAAAACAGATTCCTGAAGAGTATTTGTTAAGCATAGCATCACCTGAAAAATATTCATTTATGGGTCAAAATTATTTTAAAAATTTACAGTATTTATCATATGTTTTTTTAAAAAGTAATAGGTAAATAACCTAAAGGCTGTTTCCATAAGAGGAGAGGTTTGCTTAATCAAGTCAATAGACATTAATAAATGGCCTCTAGAAGTCAAGCTACTTCTCAGAAAGTTTGTGTAGAAAAGATAGTTATGGAGGATGACTATATATTATAAATATTTTGTTTATTTTTAACATGCAGGTATTCAGCCTATTGGCAAAAGCTGGCCTTTTTCAGTGGGTGTCCTAGCAGTTATCCTCAGTACTACAGCACTGATTATTGCTGCTATCAAGTTTCCAACATGGTACCGCTATTTAATCAGCTATAATCACAGACGCCTAGAAGAAAAAGAAGAATCTGAAATGTCTGAAGAAACATTCACACCTCAATTATGCACATTCCCACAAACATCAGAGAGTAATGAAGAAGAGTTTATAGTTGGTTTTGAACAATTTCATACATTTGTTCCAGAGGATGATGGATTTATTGAAGACAAATATATTGATCCATAAAGGTTTACCATAAATATTGTAGACTAAAATTATTTGGGTTGTTAGGACAGAGTTGTGCTATTTGTTGTTCTATATATAGTACCAAAATACAAACTCAATCTGTGTTGTTATTAATCAATTTTATATGATCTAAACTTATTAAGAAAAACCTTACAACCTTGATTTAGCAGACATTGATATGATGGATTTCTAATATAATGAATCATAAAGAACTGAACTGAACTAATACAATGAATCAAATTTCTGTGGTAATTTATGTCATTTGTGTAATGATGTCATAAATTATGCCATTTGTATTCATTTACATAATGCGTATAAATGGACATGCATGCAACATTACAACATACAAAAGAGGCTAGGCTTATGTTGTGATGGTGGAGCACTGCTTTTGTCAATTTGCTCTCCTCTGCACCTCTCTCTTCAGATGCCACTGACTGCCACTTACTTCCATGAAAGGAATTCTGGATTAACATGAATTACCCCAACTGTAATAAGAGCTGCTTCGCAATTTTTATGCCAGTTATTATTGTGACTACTATTGTTTTTTTAGTGTGGTAAATATGTCAGTTGTGAAAGGCTTCTTCAAATGCTTGAGAACAAACACTGGACAAATGCCAAGAAATGTGTATGAAAATTCCCTTCTACAAGTTTTTGTTTATTTTTTTTTAAGTTTTGAATTTTGAATTCAGGTACTTACCTCTGTCTTTCTGTAAAAATAATGTCTATGCCTTGAGCTTCACGGTCATTTTGAGCTTTTAACTATTAACAAAGACAAAGACATTGGCAACATCACTGTAAGTATAGTTTTGCTATTTCTACAGCAAATATGAACAAAAAATACATATTCCTTTATTCTAATACATATGCTTTTCTGTATTTTTAACATAAATCAAGAGTAAATGGTACCCCGAAGGAAAATCAAACTTTAATATATCCTTACCATTCCCATGCATAATAGCTGGTTTGTACATACAGGCAATAGGACTTACTTGCCAAATGAAGTAATAGGTCTTGTTACTCAGTTAATTTTTAATGTTATAGAAACAACAGTGCAAGGGCCACATTATATACCTTTACCATTTTGGGGTATCACACTGTTCACAAAAACTGATCACACTGTTCTATTTCAAATATCTTTCAGCTACACAAGTGGAAATTTGTCAGCACCAGTCCAAGGCCAATTTATCAATATAAATAATACCAACAGTGAAATGAAACATTAGTCTTTATACTTACCAGGTTATAGTCGCTCATTACTTCCTCCATATCAGTGTTAGTGTTAAGTTTATCCACTAACTAAAACAACAAGGAAAGTTAATTAATTCTTCATGTAATCTCATATAGGAACACAATCAAAGAGACTATTGCTCTGCATAGTTATTGTCAAATCTGCATTGGTCTGAACTGGATTAGAGAAACAATAGTTGGAAAGCTATTTGCAAATGCAATTCAAAATTGAGTCCAGTTTTTTCAATGCATGAATTCAATCTAAATTTTAAAAATTATCTGTGAAACAGTAACATACCATATTGTAGTCTGCCAGCTGTCCTTGAAACTCTTTGATCTCACTAGCTAAAGATTCTGCTCTAAAAGACAAGAAAACACAAGATTACTACAAAGCCCAGCAAAAAAGGGAATTTAAAACAAGTAAAGCTCTACTTTTCCAACCCAAAAGTTACTAATAAGTCACACTGGACAGGCATATTTATAGATTTTGATATGCAGTTTAGCTTACCTTTTTTCATAGGACAGATATACAGAATTCTCTTGATTATACATATCAATTTCTTTCTGAAGCTTATTGATTTCTGAGGTAAGCTCATTTATTTTGCTCCTATAAGAAAAGAAATAGGTGATTATGCAAAGATATATACTTTAATCTTTGTGTATTGCTGAAATTTCATGTAATTTAAGTTGAGGAGATCCTTGAGCGGTAGTTAGATTTAAACTCCCATTAACTAAGTATGTTGATGGGAATTGGTCTACATAATATTCTATAACCCAGGTCAGCATCTATGTTTTCTGGAAGGCTATTCTGAGAACAGAATGTACTACAAATGCTACTTCATCTTTTTCAGTGACAATGAAGGGCTAAGTAGAATGTGTACTAAATTGGATTTATTCAGGAACCTGTAGTTCCTGATTTTAATTCTAAAATAGATGGGATTTTAAAAATATATATGCTTTTTAAAATTCCCATATTAGCGTTCTAAAGTTTATCTCTGACCTATTTGACAATACTGTATTAATTTAGGGTCAGCTAGTTTTTCCTAGGGAAAGAACTATAGCAAGTTTTGCATAGATTTATTTCTTTATTTAAAAAAGGACATTTTTATAATTATCACTTCCCCCATTACAATGATAGAATTAAGATGCCTAAAATTAGGCAGAATTAAGGGTGTTTAATTAGATTGACTCTGGCTACCAAGAGCATGTGGACAGATAGAGAAATATGGGTCAAATTCATACACAGTGTGAAGGCAAAATGTAGTTTTTTTCACTTCTGATGCATCTGTGAATCCACCCAATATGATTTGGCATTATGTGCAAACAAGATCATTGTTTGTTTTCCAAACCATGGTTAAATACATCCAACTTAGCTATAATCTTACTTTATGACAATCCCAAGTTTGAGAGTCTCATGAGTTGTGATCATGTGATATGCTAAACCAAAAAAGCTGGTTAATGATACCACAACATTACCTTTCCCTGCTTTATCCTGTCTTAGGCTTACTATATTATCTGAACCCAAAATAGTCATCATTTTGGGTTTGTGGAAAAGCAAAATCTGAAAGCAAAATTGTCATAAGTTACATACACATTAAACTCATTATACTAATTAAACAAAGGTTTTGGCCTAGCATGTCATACATACATACATAACCATGGAGAAGAAATACACAGGTGCCTAGAGGGAAGCAAGGAGATCATTTGTGGAGTACAGCCAATTCACTAGTTACGTAGCAAGGAAGTGATGGCAATTTAACATGAGCTTCAAGCAAATAGGAAGGAAATGGAAGGCAAAGCTGCATACAGTACAGAAAAACAGCAAAGAAAGTATAGCAAGAACCTCTTTCACTTTACGAGAAAATGCATTATCAAGAGAGTACTATAATCCTATATCCTCCTCATTAAGATCTTAAGAGTACCCTGCTTGGTACTATAGTTTTTTCTAATATGGGCTATAATACATTTGACACAACCTTATCCCATATTACTAGTGACAAATTCTTTCACATACCTAAGCACTCCAAGGTAATAGGATTTATCCATAATTTGTCTCTGTGGGCCTAAAGAAAAAATATATTATTCTGATATGAGAAACAGATTTATTTAATTAAAAACAGTGAAATGATTCTTGCAAAACAACAAAATTATACAGAGAAGATATTTCTTCACTAAGTTAAAGAATGTAGCATATTTTTAAAAAAGATCAATGATGATATGTTACCCATAACTTTAGAAAACTATAGGCCCTAGATATATTTGCTCTCCTTTGGCTAACAATGTCTGGACTCAATCTAGCACTGCAGATACTTCTGATTGTATATTTAAATGATATATTATTTTAGCCTTTGTTATGGTCAACCAAATACATTTTTCCTCCAAGTAGTTTATTTTATGTATTCACAGGACTTACAGGCCACTCCAATCTGCCACCTCTGAACAGAATACAAGTCCCTAATATGTAACTGGGATTAAAATGATATATACAATCAATTAAAAAAACAACAACTAGAAAACATTCCTCATGTATAAAACATTCACAATAGTGAAATCTCATGACCAAGAAGTAATTATAAACAGACCAGCTTCTTAGAAGGGAAGGGGACAACTGAAGAAGGGGGTTGGGTATTATGCCAGAGGAAAGGGTAGCAAATGAAAAGGTCTGTTTATATGGCCTCTGAAAGTGGCAGCCTCTAACTGAGGGGACATGTGGCAAGCCCAGCATACTAGATCTTCTCAGCAGGCAGATGTTATAAGGAGAATGTGTCCCAGAGGTATTCTAGACCCCAAACCTTGAAGAGCTTTAAAGGTGACAACCAGCACCTTGAATTGTACCCAGAAGCAAATGACAATCAGTGCATTCTTGTAGTAAAGGTGTTGCATGGATGTTTTAATATATACTCATCGCTGGACCAGCTGCAGCTTCCAAATGCTTTTTCAAAGGCAGCCTTATGTAGAGTGCATTGGACTACTTCGATCACATTTGAACAGCAGTGACACGTTATGGGTTTACGGTGATCTATACTCCAACATACCCACTTTTTATTTTCCCCCCTTTTAAAAATGTATTTAAAATGGAAAATTCAACATGATCATTTAAAAATGTACTGTTTTTTAGATGAAACTGACAATGAGAATGAGAGAATACTATATAATCCAATTAATATAATTACTTAATAAATATGGGATTTTAAAACAAACTATTTACAACATTTTACCTATATTACCTTACTTTAGACCTCAAATATTTTGGGGTCATCTTTCAATCTTCTTTTATATGACAGAACCAAACAAAAGATGTTATCATTACAGCTCAAAGACATCCAATGCAATAGTTCAATTTGGTAGCAAAGGCAATGCTTCCTATAGCCATAAAACTAGTTTAAGGCCAAGATATTACGCCTTTTGTTTTATGCCCCTAGCTTCGAGTGTACAAGGATTTTAGACTAAATGTATAAGAGCTACATTTCATGTCCTCTGCTGTATGTCAAATGCTGTCTTGTGTTTAGAAGCTGATCTTTCCTCGGTTTGAGAGTGTGTCAGTTAGGATACTGATTAAAATTAAACTGTACAGAAAATTCTCTTGTCCTAATTCTCACTGACAAATCTCCTGTAAGAAAAACAGAAACACACTCAAGCTACTGTGGCACTTCAGCTCAATTCTACAATGGTAGAAAAAAAGTGCTGGATAAAGAAGTACATGCTCTGGACAAAGAAGTACATGCTGGATAAAGAAGTACATGCTTGACTCTGATATACAGTAAAACTGAAGCCTAACCCTCTACTA